AACGTTTCACAATATTAATGGATTTTATCCTTACAACATCTCTGTGAGGTAGGGAAGTATTACCACCACTTTATAGATAGGGAATTGAGGCACAAGGTAGATTAAGTGACTTGCCCAAGGTCCCACAGGAAGTCTGTGGCTGAGCCAGGATTTGAACCTACATTTCCTGAGTCTAAGTCCAAGGCCAGTGTCCCATCCACTAGATCATCTTTCCCACTTCCCTCTGCCACCCACACCTTCAGTGTAAATGGCTATTTTGTGTAAGTAGCAATGGGGCTCTAATTATCATGTAGTGACTCAGGACTCAACAACTCCATGCTTGCTGTCAGTTGGCAGCTACCCACAAGATCTAATGCTACCTCACCCTTAAGTTCTTCTGGCCTTTCTGAATTGGATCTCATCAGAATCTCTGAAGTCTGGAGATGATGCAGTGCTCTGAATATGAGAGAGACAGGCTTTGTGTGCTCATTTCTCTCTTGCTAGGAAATGCTACCAATTTTCCTGAGAGTCAGTTTCATTAGAGGGCAGTCGTTCTCAAGTTGCTTTATCATTCCATCTTTCCTCTTCTGGCTTCCTATAGCAAGTGGTTCCATCTCACAGACCCTATGATGCTCCAGTATGCTTTGGTTTAATCAAAATTTCAGTGTCCATGTTAACACTGAAGAATAATAGTTTTGGGGCAGGGGGCTTTGCATGGCCATTTGTGTAACAGAAACTGTGCTATGTGGAGGTTTTCACCAGTGGAGCAGTGATTTCAGGAATTTGGCTGGGGACTGACAGATTTAAATCCAGCCATACAACTGATTTGAGAGTAGACTGAAGAGGTAGTAATTGGTGCTTAGTTTTTCTAATTGGACTGTGAAAGGAAAGAGTTTAGATTTAAAAGCGTGGACAGGGTATGGATTAAGCAATTTTTACTAGTAGTAAATGTAAAGTTTCATGTTGATCAGATTGTGGTGATGTCTCTAAGTCATAATCTTTTATATCAATTTTTCCAGAGTAATAGACATGCTGAAAAGGGCTTAGGGCTTTGGGTTTCTCAGCCAGAAGGCTTTAAGCAAAATATGACTAGTTGGTTTAAATGCTGTTCTTTGTAGTTCCATAAACCTAATGCAACTCTGATGGCACTTCAGGAATTGAATGATTCCATTCTGTAAAAGGCATGATCTTGGGTGGATTAATGGCTCTTTTATGGGCATTTCCAAGAAATGTGGGTGGCACCTTTTCAAAACATTTTGATTGATATAGTGAGATCAGTGAATGCAGTGTTCAGCCAAAATTCTGAGTAGGCCTTCCTTTGATTTTCCACCCCACCCTCTGCCCGCATCAGTTGTTTATAAAAGGCCAGATTTAAATATTTTGCTTGCCTCTTCCCAACTGTGTGGGTGTACACACACGTGGAAATTTAGGGCACAACTCTGAAAGGTGCTGTGCACTTCCTGCAAGACCTCTGTGCTCCTTCATCTCTCACTCATGGGAATCAAAGGAGTTGATTAGGATTAGGCCCTTAGTTGAGAGGATGGTTTGGGGATGATTTTGTTTACAGTGCTGGAACTGTCTACTTGAATGTGACTATCGCAATGTAAGCAAAATGTGTTCTAAACTTTAGTCTGAAGGAAGAATTAATTGCAAAATAGAGTGGGTGGGGGGGAAAGGCAAATGGGATTTTGGAAATGGACACTTGCAACAGTAATTCTCCCCTTTTCTTGGTTGTTTTATGCTATATTATGACAGTAATGGCAAGCTTCTTATCTGTTAAATAGCTTTCTCTGAGATCACTAACTTACTAATCAGGAGCTCTTCTGTATTTTCTTATTTTAGAACTACTCTCAATTAGAATCAGCCATTCTATTTATAGTCTAGTGCTTTAGTGCCAAAATTGTTATCTCCTTTTTCCAGGCTTAATGAAATCAAGTGACTGAGACTCCCTGTTTTGGTAATGTCTGCATTGGAGCATGGAGAAAACAAATGAACAGGAAACAAAATTATATTGTTATTTTAGCCAACCAGGAGTACTAGACTTGCAAATGATGAATACCCGGCTGGTACAACCGAAAAGTCTTTATACCTTAACTAAAGTTTAATCCATTTTGAGCCTGGGTTAACAATACACCGCTACCTCGATATAACGCGACCCGATATAACACGAATTCGGATATAATGCGGTAAAGCAGTGGTCCGGGGGGAGGGGGAGGGGGAGCTGCACACTCCGGTGGATCAAAGCAAGTTAAATATAACGCGGTTAGATTTTTTTGGCTCCCGAGGACAGCGTTATATTGAGGTAGAGGTGTACATTCAGTGCCAAAATTCCTAAAGGACCAAAAGGCTGTTTTTGCCATATTGGATCATTCCTGGAAATAATTTGATCACTGATATCACTCTGTGTTCAGCTCTGGAGAGGTAATTGGAATTGTTCAGTTTGAATGTGTGCATATACTGAACTTCAGTAGTAAAATCACCTGGTCTATGTTTCCCTTTCACTGTCTTTGTCAATAGAGAACTGTAGTGAAACTCTTACAATGTGTATGGACACAATAGGAATACAGTACACTTATATTTAATCAAGACTTCCACCTATCGGCGGAGTGACTTGAAACGGCATATAGTTAATAGAAATGGCTAGAGAATTTGTAGATCGGTTTTCTGACTTTTGGAAAACTTGCTACCATAAGAGAGAGAGAGAGAGTATGCGCACCTGGTGGTATTGGTGTAAGAGAGGATAACCTCTTGTATTTTTTATTTGTCTGGTATTTATCTGTAGTTAATAAAGATTATAATAGGTTAACTGAACAGATAGCAGGTCTCATTGGGAAAAAATCAAAGGAGATAAAATACTGATAAAAAATTCAGAAGTAAACCTCTACCCCGATATAATGCGACCCGATATAACACGAATTCGGATATAACGCAGTAAAGCAGTGCTCCGGGGGGGGGAGCGGGGCTGCACACTCCGGCGAATCAAAGCAAGTTCGATATAACGCAGTTTCACCTATAACACAGTACGATTTTTTTGGCTCCTGAGGATAGTGTTATATCGGGGTAGAGGTGTAGCTACGGGATTGTAAAATCTGCTGTATTGCTAGTTCATCAGTATCCCCACTGTGTAGGTATAAATACACACACATTATTCTCGTAAGTGGCACATGGGCAGTGCCGTAACAAGGGCGAGGCGAGTGAGGCACTTGCCTCGGGCACACAAAGCCGGGGGGGGGGGGGGGG